AAAATATTCTTTTATTATTTGATTTCTTTTTTTGTCTTTTTTATTTTAATTAGTATTTGTTTATATATTATATACAAATATTCAATTTCAGGATAAAAACCTTGAAATAGAGATATTAATTTATTTTTACATTTATCAAAATATTATTATATTTTAAGATTGAGGACTTTTTTATATAATTAATCTAAAATCAATTTATTTTATTAATTAGATAATTCAATATATAATTATTGATAATATAAATTCATTATTTCTTAGTATATAATTTCCTTTATAAAGTAATTATTTGATAATATAAATTATTATTAATTAATTATTATTTTTAATACTTCAATTTTATATCATTTTTCTAATATCTTTAATATAAATATATTTAAAATATTCTTTTAGAATTTAAATACTAATATAATCTTATTCAATAATTTAAATAAAATAAATAAAAGATTTAAATTATATTTATTATAATATCTTTTTGACAAAATAATTTCTCTTTTCTTTTTTATTAATAAAAGATTTTCTTTAAAATAATTAAGAAATGCTTTTTTATAGTATAAATTATTATAAATAATTAACTAAATAGGAAGAATATTAGTTCTTTGAATTATTTCAATTTTTATTTAAATATACTTATTTTTTAAAGTGAAATCTATTATATTATTATTAGCAATATTATTTTCAATATTAATTTCTATATTAATCTCTTTTTTATTTATTAAATTCTTATTTTCTATTTGATTTTTTAAAGCTTATAAAATTTGAAACTGTCTTATCTTTTAATAAAATAATAAGAAATATCTTTTTATTATTTTCTATATCAAAATAGGAGTTTTATTTATATTAATATTAAATTCTTCTAATATTATAAAATAGAATTTATTAGAATTAAAATAATAATATAGAATAAATATATATATTATATTAATATATTCTAATTCTTTTTTTTCTTAATTTATTCTTTATTATATCTTTATAATTAATTGCTTTTTTATATTCTAAAAAATAATTAGATTTATATTATAGATATTAATATTTATAGTAAAAGTGATAATAGTAATAATAATATAAATAATTAATATTATTTTTATAAATTTATTATATCTTATTATTTGATTTTTTATATTAATCTTTAAATAAAATAAAATAATAATATTTATAATATTAAGGTTTTTATTCTTTATTTTAATAAAATATAATATAATTTTGTTTTTTGTTTTTTTAAAAAAATATTTTGAAAATAGTTTTTTATTATATTGATTTTATTTTTAGAATTTATAAATATTATAATCTTAGAAATCTTCTTTAAAATTAGATTCCCATCTTTATTTATAATATTATCTAAAAGATAATATAAAGATTTTAAAGATTTAATTTGTTTATAAGAAATAAGAATTATTATTAACAAAATATTTAAATAATTAATAAATATATAGATAATATATATTTAATATAATTAAAACCCAATCTTTGAAATCCTTTATTATCTAAAACTATCTTTTGACTTTTTATATTCAAAATGATAATATATTCAAATTATATAACTTTTTGAAATAAAAGATATTATAACTATCTCAATATAATAAACTTAGATTGAAAATCCTTTTATTATAAGATAAGATAATATTCATCTATAATTATAAGCCTAATATTAGATTATAATTTAGGAAATATAAATATATTCCTAAATTTAGATAAAGTCACTTATTCAGAATTTAAAAGAATATATATATATTTTAATTAATGAATTTGATTAATTATTTCAGCTTTTTCTTTTAATAATTCGAAATTCAGAAAATAAAATAATATTCCAGAAAGTTTTTTGATATCCTCAAATTGCTTCTTTTCAAGTTTTATTAATAGAATTATCTAGAAAATAATCTTTTCTATCAAAATAAAATATAAATAAAATATTAAACTTTTTTTAAATTTAATTTTAATAATATAAAAAGTATTATTTTTTTTATAAATTAAATAATATAGAATTCAGATTTATATAAACTTGGATTTTCAAATAATAATAGAATTTAAAAACTAAAGAATTCTTTTAAGATATAATTTAATAAGATTTTCTTATTTTTCAATATATTTCTTTATTTCTTCTTTTTTAATTATTATAAATATATTTTTTAATTTAATTTTATAAATTTGTTTTATATATTTATTTAATCTAATTATTAATATTATTAATATATTAGATATAATTAATATAATCTTATGATTATTCTTTAGTTTTTTAGCTTTAATTTATTTAGAATATTTATTATTTTTCTTTTGTTTTGAAAATATAATAATAGAAGTTCCTAAGATATAATAAAAGATTTCAAAAAATAATAAAAATCTATAAAAGATAATAAAAATTTGTAAAAAACCTTATAAATTAATAAATATTTATAAAATATAATATAATTTAATAATAAATTAAATAAAAGCTAATAGAAAGTAATAGAAGTTTTTAGAAATCAATAAGAATAAATATAATTGAATATATATTTCATTTTTATTTTAATTTTATTTCAATTTACTTATAATTTATATAATAAATTTTATTTATATTCAAAAACGATTTCAATATATTATATAAAAATAAAGAATTATTATATTATTATTATTATTAAAAAATAGTATTTAATCATTTACTTTTTAATAAAAATAATATTAATAGAAATATAAATAATATAATAGAATTACTAAAATTAAAAAAATCTTTAAAATATATATAATTATATAAATCAATAAATGAAAATAATAAATTAAAAAAAAAGAATAATTATTATTACAAAATATTAATTTTCAAAAATATATATTTTTAATATATATATATAACGTAGTTTAACACCGAGTAACCTATATCACCGAGTGGCCCACTTTCACCTCAATTTATATCTTTCTCTTTCAATATACGTTTTATCAACAATCTATAATAAATTCGAATAATCAAGAAGCTTATATACTTCTTGCTATCAAAGTTATTCATAAAGATAAAAAACTAAATATTCAAAAAGCTACTATATTTTATAATATCCCTTATACGATTTTTCGATATAAAATAAAAGATTTATCTTTTTATATAGAAATTCGAGTTAATAGTTATAAGATTATAAAATTAAAAGAAAAAATAATTATTTAATATATATTCAATATAGATTCAAAAGGATTTCTATTTAAATTAAAGAATATAAAAGATATAGCAAATTATATTCTTGAATTGAGAGATATAAAATATATTGGAAAGCTTTGGGTATATTGATTTATAAAGTATTGAATTAAATTAAAGATGTGTTTTAATCATATTTATGATTTTCAAAGAGCTTTTTGTGAAGATTCTAAGTTTATTAAAGAGTGGTTTCGATTAGTTGCAAATATATAAGCGAAATATAGCATTTTGAACAACAATTTCTACAATTTCGATGAAATAAACTTTATAATAGGAATTATATATACAGCAATAGTTATTACTAATACTAAGAGATACAGCAGAAATAAATCAGTATAATTAGGCAATCGAGAATGGGCTATAGTAATAATATATAGAAATATGGAGAATAAAATTATTCCTTTATTTTTAATAATTCAAAGATAAATTCATCTCTCCAATTAATATATCGAAATTAGTTTTTCTATAGAATGGGTTATTAAATCTATATCTAATGGATAAACAAACAATAAAATAGATTTAAAATAATTGAAATATTTTGACAAGCATATTAAGAATTGAAAAAAGAGCAAATATCAAATGTTGATATTAAATGAATATAAAAACTATAAATTAGTAGTTTTTCAAATATATTATAAAAAAAATAATATTATATATCTAAATTTATTATTATATTCAAATTATTTAATTCAATTATTTGATGTTAGTTATTTTAATAATCTGAAATGTTCATATAATACTCAAATCGATAAATTTATTAAGATATATATTAATTATATTTCGAAGATTAAATTCTTTATAACTTTCAAAATTGTATATCAAAAATCAATTATCTTTCAGAATATAAAAACAAAGTTTCGAGGAATAGATTTAATCCCATTTAATTCTGAAGCTATACTTTCAAAATTAAATATTCGAATTTACATACCTACCCCCCCTTTTTTCAATTTAAATTAATGGATCTTTTAAACCTCTTATAACCCAACTAAAACTCTTTCTCAATCAATATTAATTAAATTTCGAATAACTTATCATTAATTAAGCTCTTCTATATTTATATTCGAAACTGTATTAACTTTAGCTAAAGATACAAAGAGATTAGCTCATAAAAATATACTTTTAAGTGTAAAGAATTGTACATTTCAGGCAGCAAATAAAGTATTAAGCAAACATCGATATACAAAAAAAACTCAATTATGTCAAGAAGGAATGTTTACTAGATAAAAGGCTTTTGATATATTATCTCAATAAAAGATTGATATTTAGATTCAACACGATAAGTATCAAAAAGGGGGGAATTCTAATAAAGAAATATCTTCTAATTAATATTATAATAAATATGAAAAGATAGGATATAATACAAAAACCTATCAAAATAATATAATAGATTCTAGATTATTAGATTTTTAATAGTTTCAATTAATTGATTCAATTATTATTGAATAATATGAGTTTGAAAGTGTAAATTGAGGTAAAAGTGGGCTACTCGGTGATATAGGCCACTCGGTGTTAAACTACGTTATAATTAAATAAAATTATTATAATAAAAAATATATTAAAATAATAAGAAAATCTATTTATATATATTGAAACTATATTAAAATAATATAATTATCAAATGATTTATAATCTTTAATTGAAAAATCAAAAAATAACAAATTATTAGTTTTTCCATCAAAGCTGGAATCAAATTGTTTCAAACTCTATAATAATAAATCTTTGGGAGACCTTTGCCTCAAAATCAAGGCCAAAAATTATGTAATCACCGTGTGGTCTGAGGATGAGATAATTCATGACTTCTCTTCTATAACAAATTACACGGACATATTTTGATCAGCGATATTCGACAATGGAAATGACTGTGAGCGAATCAGATCGATCACCATCTCGAGATAGCTTTGCAACTACTGAAAACGAAGAACACATGTTGATCGGAAATTTAATGGAGGGTGCCTCAATGTCACGTCCATCATCGGCACAGGGAAGTTTGGCGCATGAGGAAGATGAGGAACGCAACCATGTGTTGAGCAATGAAAACGCAACGATGGAGACGTTACCGGCGGACTTCGACACGCAATCATTAGGGGAGGAGAGCTTGCCAAAAGTACGACCACGACACAATATTAGGATGGCGTGCAAATATTGTGTATTATGTCAAGCCCAGTTTCCCCCTTTTTTCTCAGAAATTTCAGGTATTGATACTTTCTGGAAATGGCGACAAAAACGAAAAGTGCAACCATGGGAATACAAATTCCGTGCCGGTAAGCAAGCTATTCGAAGGATATATTTCTCAAGTTTATTGATGGATGTTGACACCAACTATAGTCATTGAGATAAATAGAGAGGATGAAGAAGAAGATATTGGTATAACGGAACTGATGGCCTTTCCAGAAGGTCGTTGTCAAGAAGGAACCTTTTGTCAGATATGACTGAGCTTGGTCCAAAGTACCAACCTTTATTCTTGTCGAAGCTAACGCTAGAGTTGAGAGCACTTATCTGGGGATATGTCGGCCCATCATCTGCTTACGGCTCGTTTATGATCGTGGCCGACGAGACATCACGTTTGTTTTACCAGATGCATCGTCCAGCACAGCTTTCTGTGGCATTGTACCCCAAATCAAGTCTTGTTCCAAAAATGATCAGGATCTTCGGTACAGATTATATACAGAGCCTCTGTGCTGAGTCAACCACAATTCCAATCACCGATGCAGCAATTGCTTGCTCCTACAAACTTGCAATAGGAACTCATGGTATATGTGCAATCCAGATAGTCAGTGAGGATGGATCCTTTTGTTGGGTTGGTAAAGTCCCTACATCTGGTCTTGTTTGGTATGTCGACGCCCAACGAGATTTTCGCAGAGACGTTAAGCTCTATTACACTTTCAAAGTTAGTATTTTACTACTTAAGAGCTTGATAAAAGAACTAAATCTAGCAGGGTCTCAATATAGATGTACGCAAAATGCAAACATTTAATGACGGAATATGGGACAATCCTGATTCACCAAAATGGTCATAGGGAGAGTCATTCTTGAATTATATTCATCGAGATGGGTATGGCTTATACAGATACATCCCATTTTATAAGGGATACGAATATACTACAGGAATAACCTTTCACTTTCACACGGGACTTATTACTGTAGTGGAAGCTTATTATGGAGAAAACACGGAGCTCACGGGAGTTTACAGTGGTGTGGCTCTTCACTTACCTCTAGAGCACAATGAACGCATATCTTTTGTATGGATCAAGCTCGTGGACACTAGAAGTCCGCGCTATTACATACCAGCATTCGTTGTCAGTTCTATACAAATAGCTTCCCTCCTGGTACTCAATAGCTTACACCGATTTAGATACAAACCACACATGGAAGGACATGCCATCTGGGACCGTATATACCTCCTGACGATTACCAATTCTACGACTGGTATCGTTTAACATTTCAAGGACAGATCACGGGGATTTGTGTTCAGAATTCTGACTGGGCCTTGAAGAACTTCAACATTACCAGTGATGGAAATGAAGTAGAGCCTTTACAACCACTACTTCACTACGAGACACCAAGACAACAACCTCAAAAATACCAATTTAATAACTTTGGTCTTTATTTTAGTTCTGGGAAGTTTTTCCAAATGAAGAAAGTGACTTCATGTAGGATTAATGAACGCTGCGTGGGAATCTTAATACATTACCTATACAAGCCGCCTTTAGTTTTGGGGCAATGGTATAAACCAGAAGTATCAATTCATCAGATCATATACGATAGGAGCCATCCTCCGCCTTCGAGAATAATGTTCCGATCGGCACGGTTCGGGAAATCCGAAGAGGAGTTTGTGGTAGACGTCAATTTCACACAGGAAGAAACACCATCTGTTGATACGAATGATCATGTACAGGTATTTGATCTTGGCCTTGAAGAGGTTCGAAATTCATAGCGTAATAGTTTCTTAACGAACATTACTGACGATTTGTAGCATATTGCCTGGTGGTTCACAACATCCACGGATCTTATTAGCCTCTGGAATCCAGGTGACCAGCCTGCAAATGGTATACAAATGAGTGAGGTCATTTGTCGGGATTATGAAAAGTAGTATAGCATAATCCGATACCTAGCTGGAACATAAAAACCATAGAAAATGAAAGTCCAATCTTTAAGAACATAATCTTCTAGTTCCCTAGAATTTTCGTTTGAATTTTATACTATGGCATGGCCCTGAGATCGATTTTTGTGAGGTAACGGCAAGTTACCTCGAGGTTACGTCTTCTCGTAATCGATTTCCCCACTATATACATGTCCCTACTACGTGCACGATTTTGAAAATGTCAATATTATAGCTTCAAATATTAATGATATATCTTTAAAGATTTATATAGAACTTGCATTAAATCATTTGAAAAGGGTTCAAACTTTTAAATATACTTAGATAACTAATTTCTTCAAAATTGATTAATTTATACTTTTTTAGTAGTATAGAGATAAAACTATCTTAAGAAAATAATTCCTTTTTAATATAAAATAAATACTTTTTAATAATTAGGAGAAGGTTTTAGTTAATCAAATTAACAAGTTGATATAGAGATTTATTCCTTTTATAAATTATATAATCAAAAATCTTATAAAAGAGATTCTAAATAAAAAGATAGGAAAGAACTGGATTAGTAATTTTGTTAAAAGGTATTCAATATATTTTAAAAGTTAGTATTTTTGTTATATTGATAATTTGTATATAAAAGCTGATAATATTGCTATATTTAATTACTTTTATAATCTGATTTGAGCTATTTTCTATTGTTATTAATCTTTATTATCTAAAACACTTTTGTTAATATTCCTTTTTTTTAATTTAATTAATAAAAATAATTATAAAATATAATATATAGTTGAGAGATATATATAATTAGAATGAGAAGGGTTTTATAATTAATATGAGGAGGATTATAAAGAGAATAATAAATGTTAGTATTTATAATAAAGGTAGAGTAATAAAAGCTAGGTAAGATGGATTAAGAGAGTTTATTATTTTATTAATAGCTATATATACTAATAGAATAATTCTTTCTTTTGCTTTTATTTATAAAAAAGATTTAGGGAATTTATAAAATATATAAATTCAGAATATAAAGGAAAAGGATAAAGCCTATTTTGAAATCTCAAGTAATAAGTGATTGTCGAATGCTTTTGACTTATATTAGCTTATAAATATATTTGATTCTATTATATATCAAAAAGTAAATGGAAGATATTATTTATTTATTATTGATAATTATTCTAGTTATATTAATATGAAATTCTTTTCAAAATATAATAAATTAAAAATTATTATTTTAATTCTTTTTCCTTATTCTATATATCAATTATAGCCTCTTGATATTGGAATCTTTAATATCTTTTTAATAAATTATAATACATTATTGAATAATTTAATATACAATAATAGAAGGATTATTAATATAATAATAGAATATATTTAAAAAGATTTAAAAGCTTATTTATACAAAATATAATATTTTATAATTCTTTGAAAAAATGAGTATATATTTTATAAATAAAAGTTTTATAATTAATTATATTATTTTGAAAATCTTTTCTATATTATTTATATTATTTAAAATTTATAGGAATACTCTTATTATATTATATATATCAAAATAATATATAAAATAAAATTAGAATTTTATTATATTTTTATTTATAAAATTATTTTAAAGCTTTTTAAAATTATAATTATATTAAAAACTAAAGCTTTTATATAAAAATATAAATCTAAAGATTTAGAAAAAGCTTTAAAACTTGAAAAAAGAAAAAGAGTTTATTCAAAATATTTAAATTTTATTAAAGAAAAGGGGAATAATATATTTTTATAATCATTTTTTATTATTATTAAAATTAGAGTATATCAAGAAAATAAAATATTTAAAAAGAAACAAAAAAAAAAGTTAAATTTCAAATAAAAGCTAAAAAAAAAGCTAAAAAGAAATAAAAGGAAATTGAAATAAAAAAAAGGGTATTATAAAAAAAGATTGATTATTAGATTGTATATAATACAAAAAAGAAGATTAAAAAGATTCTAAAATTAATAAAATCTTTAATCAAAAAAGATAAAAAGTTTTTTAAAGCTTTTTCTATTATAGATTTAATATTAATAAAGATTATAAAGCTTTTTGATATTATAGAAACTAATAATTTAAAGAGGAAGAAGGAAAAGATTATATTACAATTTAATAAAGAGTAAGCACTATTAATTCTATTGAAATTCAAAATCTAAAGATTTTATTATATTTTTAAATAATATTATATCTTATTATTTATTGATTAAATTACTAGCTCTTTATCTTATAAATTGAAATTGTTATTAATTTTTAAAGTTATTCAAAATGAGTGATTGAGATTGTGCATATAGTAGGGATGTACACATAGTAGGGAAATCGGTTAATGTTACATCAAAGTCAAATCACACGAGCTGCCTGATTACGGTTGAGTGTCTTCATACTCGAGCATTGAATGTTGATTGCATGAGTAACACTTGGCTATCAGTATGAATTGTATAATTGAATTCCATATAACATGCACAGATTTGCTAGTTTCTGGGGCGAAAGGGAAAAGAGGGAAGGTTTTTGACGCTGTATTACCGTGTCCTTAGACCTGTGTATTCAGATTCTAGGGTCAATTGACCACTGGCTACAGAAATAGGTATTGATTCAAATCGATATTAGCAATGCCAGTAGGACCTCGTTTAGTATCGTGATATGCAATGACTAAATCAATAATTCTAGAATTTTCTTCGTCAACCAATAGAAGGGAAAGATCACGTATTTGGTGATTTAGACAAAGTGTTTCACATTCCGCCGCCGATGTTGAATGGTTGGTTGACGTTTACTGTACCCAAGTACAGCTGCTGAATTCGGAGGGGTGGTATAGCCGCGCGCTATCGATTAAGGTTGCCCTGCATAAGCTGACAAACCGTACGACAGCATGTTCATTAAATTCTATCGATCAATCAACAATGGATAGGTAATTCTATGGATATATCTGTCGACATGTCGAACAAGCAAATTGACAGTCCAGCTATTGTCGGCGATTCAGCGATGGAAGGGGAAATAATCATGGCAGGACCCCGCAAAGTTCGATTGCAGTGGTCGGGGAATCACGCGATGATAACGAGATGATGAATTCTGATCTCGTCACCACGTACGATGAAATCGATTTACCTGCCGAGAATGCAGTTGATGAAAGAGAAGAGGGACCCGAGAGTTTCAGAACCGAAAATCGAATGTCAGGTAGCCAAAACGAAGATGAACAGGAAAAAGCGAACAATGGAGTACCTGTTCCACTTGCTCATGTCCAGGCGAGTGAATACTGTATCCTCTGTCGAGCTCGACTTTTTCCTTTTTATTTTTGTCAATGAGCCAAACCGCCGAGGATATCAAGAATGGCTTTCCGAAAATCCAGCCGAGCAATGGCAGCTGAAAACACGCGCAGGTATGTTGTTTATCAAAATTGCTGATACTGCAGTACTGACATCTGTTTTAGTCATGAATCTCCTATTCGATAATCCTGAGGGTGCCGTCATGACAAAAGCTTTCACGTTTGATTATCTAACAGTCGAAACATCTTTAATTGGTCATCCTGAATCTAAGAGAATTGTTCTGCACCCCCGTCCAGATCTAGATGATTATGTAGACACATTTGCTTATTGTTTTCACGATTGGTGCTATTCTGTTTTGAGTTGGAAAACAAAGCAAAATAGTGCCAAATTCTTGTTTGAATTGGGTAGAAACCTCAATATTTCGACTGTTTGGGAGAGACCAGCTGAATGGCATGGTCCACTCTACCAACAAATCGACAGCAACGCCTTACTCTCTACAGCTGACGATGGATTCGCAAGGCTTCAACCACTGTTTCTGTCAAGACTTCCTCTTGAACTGCGTTCTCGAATTTGGGGTTATGTTGGATCCGAAACAGCCTATTCTGCATTTTTATTAGTGGTTGGGGAGACATCACATTTAGCACAGCAGATCTCCCAACCAACTGAACAGCTACTCCCTATCGAACCAATTGTTACATTAGAGCAGTATTCAATGAAGTTTACGGCACAGAATACATTCGAGACTTAGCCCAAGATACGACATCCAGTAATGGAATTGAAATCTTACAAACAGTGACCGAGATCGATATTGTTTCCAGTATACACGGCATTTGCGCCATAAGATTTGCGGGGTCTAGTTGGACGTCTGAGTGGCTGGGCAGGATCCCTCAAGCGAAGCATTCCTGGCACGGTACAATTCAGGTTGAAAACACCAACTTATTGATATACTCCCATAATGTAAGATTTCTTGATTTTTCATCTCCGTGAGAGGTCTAATGCGTTTCGGGTCTGTGTGTATCCAACATAGTAGATTCATTTAAATCAAACAGAGTTCAGGTCATGTGGGACCAGCCAAACCATCCTCCGGCAACGTTTGATGCTGATGCCGCGTTGTTCTCGCTGCATGAACCTGAGCAATTGTATCGAAAGAAACTGCCAGAACTGGGATTTTTTAGATTTATTTCATTGACCAGTCATGGAGAATATATCTCCGGGCTCACCATGTATTTCATGTCTCAGTGTATCGTGTTTATCGAATCATATTTCTCATCAGGCTTGTATTTCGTGTGTAGTCGTGGTGAAGTAGCAGTACATATGTCACTTGCCCCAGGTGAACTTATTAGCGATGTTTGGTTACGTCTCTACGTTGACTTACCTGTTGAATCTGTTCCCACCGTATTGGTTCGTGGATTTCCAACTTTTGCCAACTCTTGCTTATAATTTCTAGATACAAACGACGTTAGGAAGGGAGTGAACATTTGGCCCATATGTGACCCCAGATAATTATAGTCAGTATCACTGGGCTATGCTGCAATACAACGGCCGGATCAGTGGATTTTATTACGAAAACGCGCCCGGAATAAAGAGAATAGGTGTCATTGGCGATGACAAGGAAATGTCAAGAGCTGAAATCCAGCTTCCACGATATGAGACTCACGTCCCAGAAGAACCCTATCTCGCAAATCCTCAATTCGTCAATGACGCGGCTATTGACTCCTTAAAAACTGTAAATGTTTGTAGAGTTGGCACGCGCTGTGTCGGTATCTTCATAAGGTATTTGGATCTAGCGATGTCTCCAGTGACTTTAGGACAGTGGTATGATAAAGATCATTCCGAATACACATGCATATACGACAACACGAAAATGTCATCAACAGTAATTGTTTTCAAAAGATCGAAGTCGGGCGGAGTGATACAAGACATCTTCTTCTCTGATCACGATTCGCCAGAAGAGCCAGCTCTGACGATCGGTACGTCGGTCTCTATACCCATCGTTGAAGTAAATTTCCGAGGACCCAACTTCTACCTGGACATGGATTGGACGCGATAATTGTTGGCTAGCTTGAGTTAAACCCTGTCGAGGAGCTGGTGGTGCCGTGTACGATCCCCTATGATCTTCTCTTTGACCGGAGCTGGTGCTAGGAACACCATATCTCTGGCCTGTTTGTTGCGACGAGCTCCCCTCGTACCTTGGTTCTGATCGCGAAGGCCGAACCTCAGAATACTCCCTTTCACGTTCGTGTCCCCGACTAGAACTAGAGATTGGGTTACTGATTCTTTGGTCCGAAGATCGTGACGGTCTCAAACTGCTTTCTTCCCGATGACTGGCTTCCCCGTAATCAGCTGGAGCTCTACTTGAAGCTGATCCGGCTGGTCGTTGAATGTAATCATCGGCACGTTGATAGCTAGAAGCAGATGATCTCGGGTCACCTCGGTTAGAGTAGCTCTCCGATGCATTTGGACGCTCATCAATAGTTGGCCTACTCCGACTAGAGCTTGCTGATCCCGTTGAGGCGGATGGGCGATTAGAAGGTTGCGGATATGGTTCTGGTCTGTTCGTGGTTCTCGGCGTACGACTAGGGTTAATTTTGTAGCTTGTATAGGAGGAGGATGCAGTGCTTCGACTTGGTCTAGAGTTCGCTCCAGAGCTCACACCCATGGCTTGCATGTTTTCGGTCAATTCTCTTACTTCGCGCGTTTCGGATGTAATAATGCCAGGATTTCCGTATCTGTCTCCAACAAGCTTTTTCATTCTGTTTTCACCACGGAACTGAGAGTTGGTGGTCATCGGCTGTGGAGGATTATTCTTCATGAATTTGAAACTCTGCTCGAAATATTCGTTGTTTGAACTCTTTCCGATATCTCGGTATTTATCCCAATTAGCATCTGACGAAGGTAATGCTTCCCCTGTCGCGATCTCGGCCCAGTACGCCCGATACATCCCTGGCTGTTTCTCCCTGTCGGCGTTGAAGGTGTCGTCCCTCTCACATCTCTATAGTTTCATGTGGGCTCCTACCATGGCCGCAGAGAAGATACGACTTATGGCAGATCCTTCTGCAGACTGGAAATATATCTGACAGTATCGATATGCTTGCCACTCTAGCTTCACTAAATGACTGCCCGTCATCCGCAAAGGCTTCTTGCACTCCCCAATCATCAAAATTTTCTGCGGTGGTACTTCACCTCCTCCTTGGCTGTATCTCACAACGATATCAATCTGTTCTCCCTTTTTCGGATCCGGATAATACTCTGGAGCGCATGTAAATCTACTGTCCAGACCAGAGAAACAATTGGTGGCAAGGACGTGAAATATTAAAGCAGTTGTCTCATGTTCCTTTGGATTTAGTTCCACATCCCTCTGGATGGCGATGTGTGCTGCCCTGTAAAGGGCTTCTATGGTACCGTCAACGACAAGACCATGTTTCTGATAGTTAGGACGGAGAGCCGTGATAAAGAAGTATATAATATATATAAATGACTGGTGCTAGAAAAGATCTGGATAATAACAATACTGAAGATGGAAAACACTGATGAACAGTCTCAACGAAAGCTCATTTCCTTATACATATACTGAATATGCCCCCCTGTCTCTCTCCTCTCCTAATTTCTTGCATCACACTCTGATTACAAGAACCACCAAAGACATAACTTCGCTGTAAGGGAGTCTTTCGGAAAAACATCTTCGAGTGGCTTTGAGTGCTTTTAGGATAACCGAGCGCCACGGATCCGGAAGTTTAGTTTCACTTTCTCCAACTCGCGCATGGCGTCTCCTTTTCGACGTCAAGATGTCGAAAGATGCTTCATAAACGCTGGTACACTAACAGTTTGAATGAGATGCACAGAAATCTGTGGTTGAAAATCCACAGGACGTAACACGACCCTTCATGCGGCCAGATTCCCTTTTCGTAACTTAACGCGGGAATCGGCACCAGCTGCATAATTGACTGGGTTATCTGGTCTCCACTTTGGCTTACCAGACTGCTTGAATTCTTGAAAATCTTAGGATCCTTAGGAACCAATGATGTTTAACCGCCCATATACCTCGAGGCATGGGCTACTTCTGCAGGGGAGGCTCGCTAAATTAGGTGAATTTACTCTCGCGCGGTTATGCAGCATAAAGTTTGGTCTGGTCTTTTTGTATTAATATCTGCTGATGTTTGGCACAAAATTAAGTGTGGGAAGCTTACAGTAAGCGGAGAGATTATATTTTCAATTAAACAGGTAAAGGGTTTGATAACCTTGATAATCGGCTAATACAATTACAAATTTACAGTGAAGTTTCAACTGCACTCCTCTATCCCAAAATTCCAATCATCACTCTCAACCCATTTCTCCAGCACATGCACCAACCGTCTTTCCTCCATCCCCATCCCCACTAGCCCCCTAACCTTCGCCCCTCCCCACATATCCATCACCTCCTGTTACCCCACACCCTCCTCCCTGCAAATCCCAGGCTTCACAGCCCTACATTCTCTCCCCTGCAAAATCCTAAAATTATCCCAAACATACACTTCTCCACGTCGCATCAAAATGTTCACCTCATGAAAATTTCTTCTTCTGATTGTCTGGAATTTTCGATATGCAGCGCGTGTTTTGGCATACTCGTCGTAGGAGCAGAGTAGCGAGGAAATGTGTTGGGGGTTGAAGCGAAATGTGTGGGGTGTAAGCGAGAATGGGAGTCGGGTAAGGAGGGGTAAGTTGGTTAGTTGGAAGGAGGATGAGAAGGAGTTGGATCTAAAGTTGGGATATGGAGCGCTGATTGGGAGGAGGATTAATGAGAGATAGGGGAGAGGCGTGGAGATTCTTCTGCGAGGGTGGAAACGATGGCGAGACGGGATATGACGGTGTGGGTGCTTTCGGTTGTGAGTACGGTGTAGGCATGGATGCGAGTAGTAATCTGAGAGCTAATTTGTTTTCGCTGTGGAAGATTAAGGCGCTGTGGATTGCGAAGCTGGGGGTGTGAAGTGCATTTTGTTTAGGTATTCGGTTATAGAAGAGTGAATGTGGATGGGACGATAAAAGAGTTTTGGAATTCATTAAAAATGAATCTGATGGGAAGATATGTCGCTTATAATTTCAATTCCGTTCACCGTGAATGCGTTTTCCGGTTTGAGATTATGGTTCTGAAACTCCTTCTCCGTCGCAAGTAATAAATAGCGACATAAGTCTTATTGCTATGGATTTCTGGTATCATAATTTAGCCACAGGTCTGATCTAAGGACAGATGGTGTAACAGGTCATCTTCTCAAACACGTGAATGTTTATGAGATTTGTATATTTTACCGTGTAAGCGAAGAAAATATGGGTGTGTAGATATGTCAGAATAGAAATAGAAGATGCGTTTCATTCCCTCTTTCTCTAAAATTGGAGCTCTCATGGTATGATATTCAACAATAACTAAAATCTCATGTACAGGTCTCCAAACAACAATTATATATATACAAAGAAAAGTCCCACATCTTACCCTACCAAAAAATTTATGCAAGAGTAGTTGGACATCCCAAATTTCCAAACAAGGGATCCAATTTTTTCGTAACAAATTCAAGTGCGGTGATAGAGGGAGCAAAAACACTATTCAACGAAGAAGGAATATTCTGAGTAGCAAGTTGATAGAGCAAGCAAGAGGCCTCCAGAGAACCAGGCGTTGCAATCAATGTTCCGTTTTTGATGGAACCAAAATTGATGAGATCAAAGCCACCATTTCCGGTAGCACCACCGAACAAAACTGGTTCTTGGAGATATAGAGCAAGAATCTCATTTGTGGCTTCAGTATGGGAATATGGGGTGGCACGGTTCGTCCAGTTATCTGGGATTTTTTCCTCGCCCGTGAAAGAATATGAGCCATCTGGATTCTGCTTAGCACCGAAAAATGAAGAAATGGTATCATAATCTGGTGTGTAATTTCTTGTCCCAGATGGCATCAACTCGTACAAGAAAGAGGCAGCACCAAAGAGGAGCAGAGAAGCGGGGCCGAAATAGAAATCCGGGTTGTCCTTGAGTGATTGTTGGTAACGCTGGGCTCGGTATCTAGCAAGTCCGTCACGATTGTAATTGCCACCTGTAGTTTCCGTCATCATTCCAAAAAGTGTTCCGTTAAATGAATAATTATCGCCATCAGCAAGGAAATGATCGTTGCGTGTGAGGGATGTATCAGCCTCGAATTTGTTGTGTGCATTCAAGCCCGGTTCTGAACCACCTGTCCCTGGTAAGAAATACGTTCTTGAAGTGGCATCACATCCGATGGAAAGTTTTTCGGTTACGATATCGCCATCGGTTAATGTAAGGCCGAGAACAGCAAGAAGATTGGCCAATTCATAGCCAACGTTATACAAGTTTTGCTGAGCATCAACAAGCTCATTATATGTTGTGATGCCATCTCGAGCAAGAAAATTATGATTGGCGGCAGCATTCAACCCCGGGCAAGGCCCACGAATATCAGACGATTTTGGAGCGATGAATTGATGATCAGTATCTCCAGGAGCTGGGACCTGATACCCTCCCTTCCCTTGCCCTGGAAGACCATTCTTAGCACCGTTATATGGGTAAGTATCTGAAATACCCGGAGTATCGATGTGATTTGCATTGAATGGGCAAAAAGTAGTGTCTGGTTGCTGCTGTTTTTGTCTGTGTAATAGACTAGAGTCGACACCAGGCATTTTAGCGACAAACGGAAAAGCTGTAACAGCTCCAACCATGAAGCTCGCTGCAATGAAAGAATGATGCATCATGAAACATATGTGATGTATGAATCCAAATGTTGCTTGGTAGTGTGATGAATGAATGCAATGATGATGAAGGAAGGATGACAAGGGAGTATTGAGATGTAGAGCAACTCGCCTACCAACTGAACGGCCTGGCAAACTAACGACTGAACTCATACTAAGATAATTCTAGCGGAACTCTTCCCTCAGGCGCATTCAAAGTTTAATTAGCGTTATCAAGACAAATCCAGACTACTGATAGATGATCGCTTTGAAAGCGGTGAGACAGCCATCGTTCAGTTGACGGGTGAAACCTATATATAGAAACATCTTCTTGTGTATCCATACATGACTAAGGAAATTACTCCTTTTTTTCGCGCTCGTTACCGTCATCCAATGTGAAATTAATTGAAAATTTTGTCTTCGGCAGATTCTTAAAACCAAGCTTCACTTGAGATAGAAAGAACGAGCTTATTCAAAAGGCTGTCTCGAGCCTCTGAAAGTAGGGGAACTGGAGATCTTCCGCGAAGGTAAAATTTTTCTACAGTCCATTTGACTATCGAATGATCAGCAGCAGTAGCCTGAATCATATATCTATCGGAATGTTGAATCTAGTAACATGCAATTTATCGCAATGAAGATCACGGGGAGGATATACGATATCATCACTGCATGACATGTCCCTCTTCGTTAGGCATACCAAAGAATCCAGCTCCGATTCCAACCTGCTCATTTCGTATTACAGATGCCACAGTAAGCAGCAACTAAGCTCGGCTCTAGTGAGGTAGCACATTATCTTCTCCTTCAGCTTCACGATATCTTATCTTACAGCTGGACGAGAGGCACTGTATTTATAGAGGACCTAGCCTCCTATTAGCCTTTCTACCCTGCATTATATTGCTTGATGATGCAGAGTAAAAACAATGGGAATTGAACTAGCAAACAAGTGATGATTTAGGGAGGTAATATTCCGTATCTTGTCTACAAGCTCATAAGACTGCGTATGAGCCCGCTGGTAGCCTCGACTCAGACCACCAAGTCTGAGTGCAAAGCATAACAATAACATGCATTCGATTGGAGTGCTCCGGAACCTTGAAGTCCACAATTGAATTGAAGGTTGAGGCAGAACAGAGATTGAGATTTTTTCACGACCGTTCTTGGCTCCCTATGTTTTGAGTTTGTAGATAAGCTTGTTTCAGTCACCAGCAGCGATCGACAATTAACAGATTGCAACGAAGTGATCGTCTATGTCTGGCGGCAACGTCAAGTAATAGATGAAACAGAAATTCGAATCATTGACGCGAAGAAGTACATGCGAGGAGGTAAGTCTTAATTGAGACAGTCAATTTAAAATTAGTCACCACGAGTGGCCTCTTTGCAGCAGAAGAGAAAACATGGAGGATCGAAAACCTTGTGGCTAGCAAAATGCAGCGTGCCAATTAATCATTGTGGCAAAAAGAAAATAAGTCTTCTGTTGCCAGACAACATTCGAGATCCCAAGATACCTTTCAAGAATCAAATCATATCCTCGAACGAAGTAAATCTTTGATGATTGCCTTCTGTTGGAATACCTGTGAAAAAAATGAGATGTATCGGCATTTAAAGCGAACAGACAAAATGCTTTCCCAGCTGTCAGTATCGATTATCCGGCAAAAGAGTGTTATTATTAAATTCATGGCAAGGAGCTAGATGTGCATCTATTGAATTCTACCTGTGATAGCGGTACAGCGGTCTAGTGCCGATAGATTCACACCATCATAATCAATTGCTAGAAGGCTCTGTCTATGAGACTATTCTACCACAAAGACAAAATCCGAGTTTTATTCTCTTCTAGTATTTTGAGATTTGAGATGTCTTTTTATTCAGCAATTACGGCTCGCCGTTTCGAAACAATGGAAGGACTGTGACAGTGTTCCTATGACTTCCTATTATGTTGACACACACAAACACTCCTCATGAAAGTCGTTGCTACACATCGTTCGAGGATAAGTGCACTAACAAATACTCAGAAGGTTACAGTTCACATAAGAATAGTTGATGGACGTACATCTTTTGTGATATTATGTATTTTCCCGATATTTCATTCGCATTTAAATAATGTAGCTGAGTAACAGTGATTCGAGAAAAAAGTGATCAATATCCCGACATCTCATACTATCTCATATCTTGTAAAAGTTAGGGCCATCACTCACTACACATTAAGCAAAAACACACCAGAAACCAGTATTTATTCAACTTTTAAGCTATCTATTAATGTAATAGAATATTGAATGACTTTTATATACTTCTTTCAAATAATTGAAAATAATTGAATGTTTTGCGGGATCCACGGGAAGTAAGTGTGCGAGCGGGCGGTGTGCAACCGTGTATAAGCTTCTGGAATGCCGAAGTCAACACCAGGACCGATGGGCTGGTCTATCAACTAAAATAAAACGATGCTAGGTTATTCCATCTGCGCAGACTAACGTTCACAGTCCAACGCCAAGTTTCGGCATTCCGAGAAATACTGTATGCCGGGTTTTGTTACAACTCCGACTCGCGAGCTGCGAAGAGGATATGCGGAGTAAAGTGAATAGTATTCCGGCTCCTGTCGGGAATCGAACAAAACTGCCTAAGTTCTTCTAGGTGTGGGGTAACATGGATCAGAAATAATTCCTGGGAATGAAACCTCGCTTAGGGAAGGGGGGCAATCTGGACCTCAGAGTTTACATCAATCTGATTTGGAGTCTATGGACGGTGGTGCTGAGTAAAAGCAAAATGGTTCTTGGGAGCAATCTAGAATTTATATGGCAAAATTGAGGGTATCTCGGACGGCGTTGATGAATGAAGACTGCTGTTCCAAATACGAAGATAGGTACAGGATTCGTTTCAGTGTCCGTCAGCTTCCTACACATGGATTGATATTTGTATAAGCAGAATTTTTTTTTTTCTCACAATAGATTAATATTTATCTCGCTATACATGCGCCCTGAGTAAACATGTATCTCATCTACCAAGAAATCTTAACCTATTAACACACAGCATACACTTAAGCTAACACTAAATACAGACTACCGCAACGCTCTACACAATGATGTCCGGTACGCCCACCACTGCTTGTGTTTTGCCGACAGCACCCTCGACAAGCCCCTTCTCATGCTGTTGCAAGAACGCTGTAGAAGCTGTCTCATCTTTGAAGTAGAATGCCTCCACGGCCTTATACTAATTCCACGATCCCTTCGAAAATTGAGTGTTGTGGAAGAAGTATTCTGCGTCCTTAGGTGTCACATCTCGGTACAGTATATATGTGTGTAGCCGACCGTCCGAAGCTTCGACATCTCTCCATTTGGCAGCCCGATCAGTGAACCACTTTTCAGGGCATTCGTCAGAAGCACTGCTTCTCTTGTGGAAGATCAGACACTCCGTAGCTCCAGCATTGGATTTCTCTGACGGGGTTTCCTTGGAGTATTTCACCACTTGCTGAGCAAGAGAGCCTTCTTGGTGGAGACGACAGAAAATGTGTGCTCCAGCAGTTGCCTTGTATTCGGGATTGCAGAAACCAGCATGGACAATAAACAAGCTTGGCCACGTGAGGCAAGTAACATAGTTCCAGGAAGGTCTTTCGGTGCCTTCGATAGTGCTGGGAGAGTTGGGCAACTTGATGTATCTTTTGATAGGAGTAACCTGATCACCTTTCGGTCGGGTCATATCGGCATGTACAGTCTTGTACTCATGGAAAAACTTCTCATCAGTCCACTCGGGTATCTTAGAGACTGATATAAACCAGGTCACCCCGCTTTGAGTATCGAAAATCCTGTCCGAGGTACTAGTGAGGGCAAAGTCCGGAAGTCCAATCCGTATGGTATTAACAAAATCCTTCGGGTTGTTGATATGAGTGAATTCCTCTTCTCTCTGTTTGGCAACTTCCGGATCATCTGAGTTCAGTCGGCGTAGATTGGCCAGAGTGATTGGGTTTGTCTTCTCCAGAAATACTCGTCGGCGAGTTTCGGCGTAAGTCGCTAGCACGTTTTTATCAAAACCCCCGTTCAAGACCTGTTTCAGCCCCTTTGCCAGATGGGCAGCATCAAGAAGACCTGTGGTAAGTCCAAGGCCTCCAACGGGATTATTAAGCTGACATGCGTTAGTTTCAACGTATTTTCAGAGAGGTCTATGCTCCCACTTACATGAGCAGCATCTCCAGCTAGAAGAACTCGCTTCTCCTGGAAACGGCTGGCACAACGATGATGGACCAAATATGGAGCCATACCCTCGTACTGTATTTGTGATGTATCACCTGGTAAGAGGCGACCGAGGCGATCTTTGACAGCCTGTGTCGTGGCCTCGTCTAGCACCGCAAGGTTCTCTGCTTTACGGAAAACAGTAGCAAATCGTCATTTTGTTCCCTTCCCATGTTTGACGACAACGCCCCAGTCCACGGGGTCTACGATGAAATTTGCCTTCTTCCATCCAAGTTCGCTTACGGGATACTGAAAGTTGACTGCCACAAATTGCAGGTTATCGAATTAAAACCTTCAAGTTCAATGCCGACGGCGCGTCTCACTTTGCTACGTCCGCCATCGGCACCTACTAGATACTCGCATTGATGTGCCACTTCTTCGGCACTGGCTTTACCAACAGTCCAATAAGTAACGGTGTCATCATTTTGCTCTACTCTAACGAGAGACTCGTTGAATCTCACTTCTGCGTTTCCGGTCTCCAAGAGCCTTTCCAAAAGAATCGCGCCCAGTTCTGGCTGGGAAAGGACGGCTGCAAAAGATTTGTCGTCCGGAGGTGGATTAATGCTGGCGAGAACGTCGCCTTTTGAATTTCTCCAGGCACAGCCATCTGATACAACATCTCCAGCTTCGATCACATCTTGGACTATTCCAGCTTTCGCAAACTCCTCCATTGTAGGCGGAAAGTAACTTCAGATCTTGAGTAAGGTAGATACTGTATAGGGTATGGATAGCTTACCCAACCGCACGCGGGGACTGGTCAATCCCTTCCCTGGACTCGTACAAGGTGACCTTGATTCCACCTTTTGCAAGCAATAAAGCTGTGAAGAGGCCAACAGGGCCAGCACCAATGACTGCCACAGTATGCTCTGAGGAAGCCTTCACCGAGGGCGATGTCAGCTTCTCTGCAAATCCAGTTTTTTCATTGATTTTTATTTTCAGGGTGTTCAGGACAGGGAACTAACCATTTTCTTCCAGATTTAGCCAAGGAATATCTCGGGATAGGGTAAGGGGTGGCACGTGTTAAGGACCTTTTTGTTGCTGCTGGCTATTCTCTGGTGGAAGCAAAGTATGTTTCCTTCGACTGGAAAAAGAATGTGAATATGGAAGGTTGTTCGATTGAAATAGCCTTTCGATACGCCGGGTTCGAGCAGGTAGGATAATGCATTCTGTTGCAAGGACCATGGGCAGTTTGCGGGCAGCCCGAAGTCCTTCGGTATCCCGATCAATGCCGGAGAAGGACCCGGAGAGGTGGAGGCGGGAGCGGGGTACGACGGGAGTGTAGGTGATCCGATGCGGGGTTGTAATAGGTAGTGCGTGGAATCGAAAAGCATGATGCTGGATCAGCAGTCAGCTTGAGTGAACATCGAATTTCCGTTGGACTAAAAAATAACAGAGAGTTTTGGAAGCTTCAGTCATGATCGGTATTCAGATGCACTGAATTTAAAACTTCATGAGTCCCTTAATGCTAGCATCAAATGTGGCAAGAAGGATTCATTCTTCCAATGTGATAATTGATATCTCGATATCTTACGCTACTCTATATTTTATATAAAAAATCGATATCATATTGCCAATAAAACAAAATTTCAATTTGATATTCCATACATCGCAGTTAATTTTTAATTATTGAAGTTTGAATAATATTGAACTTGAGATTGTATAAGATTTAAAGTAGTATATGATATTGAGATATCGGTTAAATGAGTTGAGTTCAGTTAAGTTGAGTACATCAACATACTCAACCCAATTCGACTCAATTAAGAGCTACTCTAAGTATACTTGAATACATTGAATAAGTTTTTATTACACCGTATTGTTTATATAAGCTTTCATCTTGTCCAAAAGGGATATTTACATTAACGATTCTGCAACCAAGAAAGTGTGACAGCGTAGTCTCGCTGAGATACTGAGATCAGGGAGTGCTGGCTTTAGAGATTTTGAGTGATTTATTCTATAAGAGAGAACATGATACTCTGATATGTTGCTTGGTTTTGTTTTTGAGTTTCTGAATTGTCCTAACTCAGATCCATGAGAGAAAGTCGCATTATAATTGAAAGGCGGCATCTCTGCATTCTCGCTCAATGAGTTGCCGATGGGCCTCACTCCTAACCTTGATTTTGACCTCGAATCCAGCTTTCTCGATGCTTCCCCTCAATAGTCTGGGAGTTGAGAGGTCAATAGGAGCGCTAGGGACGGGCTCAAATTCGAAACAGTAGAGAAGACGAGCGAGCGCAATGAACATATTGCCAACTCCAACGTTGTAACCGACGCAGACTCTCCTACCTGCATTTGAAAACATTTTGTCAGTCAGAATCTACTGCAGGCTGACTGGGGAGAATTATCTAACCTGTGCCGAACCCGAGATGGCCTTTCGCTGGCTTGTCAAGGTCATCGTTGAGGAAGCGCTCCGGCCAAAAGCGATCCGGTTGTTCATATTCGCTGGAGGAATTTGCGATAGCCCAGTGATTATAGACGATAACAGAGCCAGATGGGATTGTAAAGCCCATATAGCTGTCGTCTTCGGTCAGGGTATGTGGCACCCCTGTTTCGGCGACTGTTGGCCTGTACATCTTAGTCAAAATCCAGTTAAATTTCGGCTGCGGTTACTTACTTCCACCTAAAACTTTCCTTAACCGCTGCTTTGATCAAGGGCAGATTGATTGCATCGTTGAAATCAGGGAGCCTCTCTGCGTTTGCTCCACAGACTTGATCCAGCTGAGCTCGAACCCTGACCGGCCAGTCGGGACAAGCTACAGCAGCTGCCACGCACTGATGAAGGGATAAACGTGTAGTACCTGTACCTGCTTCCATCATCGTACCGCCTATGAAAAGTAGCTCTTCCTCGGAAAACTGAGCATCTTGCTTTGAGTCTAGGAGTTCGGACATGAAACATGGCTTCTGAGTTCCCAAACGCCTCCGTTCACGAAGATCATCCATCTCCTTCCGATAAACTCTGCATCACGATAAGTTTGGGGATTAGAGCAGAGGCGCGAGGTGAAGAAAGAAGCTTACCCGAGAGTCCGTCTGTATAGGGCGTCGCCATACCATCTCCAGGGCTGAAGGTTCTTGAGCCAGGGGATCTTCATCAGAAATGGGAGTACATCAACGACTGCTCTGCCAGGCTCCAAGTAGTGTTCAAACTGCTCTGAGCACTTCAGAGCAGCTTCCATATATGCATCGCCGATGGCAGCGCGCCGACCAAAAATGACGCTCATAATCACCGAAGCCGAAAATGACCCGTGGGCTTTCCACCAACATGCCGGATCTTGGAGGTAGTTGTACAGCAGGGCTTTTGACTCCACATCTTGAAATGGTTGGAAAAGGTTCTGTTGATTGACATTGAGAATTGAATGTACAACTTTTCTTTCTCTGCGCCATAGGTCTCCATATGGTATTAACAGCATTTGCTTATGATTTGACATGAGGCCCTGCGCCATAGGGAAATCAATCCGTGATGAAGACTTGGCCGCACGCTTCTCCAGAAGCTCGTTAACATCTCGTGTATTGTTTAGAAAAACCCAAAATGTGTTGCCAAATTTGAGGGTAAGGGCTAGTTTGGATATACAAATCCATGCTGAATCCGCTAAATATTCCACACTTTTTGAAAACAGATTTTGAATTTATATTTGGATATTAAATCGTGAATTTTATTAAATAATTTGTATTTTAATAAATTTAATATATTTTGAAATAGAAAAAGGATAGATTACTTTAAAATGATATTAAATAATCTATGTTTTTCAATAAATTTATATAGAAAAATGAAAATACGAATTGAAAATAAGGATTAGAAAAAACTAATCTTATTAAATCTATTGAAATAATTTATTTTTTTTATAAATCTTTATAGATTTTAAAATCTAAAGCTTTAATATATAAAGCTTAAAATTATAATAAATAAAATCTAAAGCTATAGATTTATTTTATATTAAAGTTTATAATTATATATAAATTTAAATAAAATTATTTTTATATTTTTTTATTTAATTATTCAAATAGTGATAATATATTGAAAATTCAAATTATCTTATTTAATTTGTGTATATATTATATGTATATTTCACTTCTTTTTATTTTAATAGATTATTTAATGAATTTGATATATAAATTATAAAACTATAAATCAATAATTTACTTTTTTTGAAGTGGATTGTTGTTATTATGGAATTTGTAATAATACAAAAAGCGGATTATTTCAATGGATTCAGTGCGGATTTTGCAATCAAACGAGCCCTAAACCTGGATTCAGTTTTAGCAAAAGTTCAACAGGTTTTCGGGCTTTCATCTGTTGCAAAGGGCCGAGCTGCTTTTGGAACTTCTTACATCTTCCCGCCATAACTCTTCGCCAACTGTTCGACACGAAGACAGAAGTCTTGCGAAGGTAGCTGGTGGGTATTTCCAATAATCGGAAGACCAGGGACAAGATTTGGCAGTGAGTACTTTTTCTTCGAGGAGGTGCTGAGAATAGAGCTCCAAAGGATAAGGCTGATAATGGAAAGCAAGACTACGAGGGGAATTGGCCTGCCTGAAACAACTTCAAGACCGTTTAGTAACGAGCCCATTGCCATCGTGCACTTTTTTTGTGAGGGAAATCAGAATCTAAACAGCAAGTGAAGTTGCAAGGAAACAGCAATAATAAACAGAAGGCGGAAGCTTTCTAAAGATGGAATATCAGACACAAGATTAATAATAGGCTGGGGAGCAGCCTAGAGACTAAGGGAGAAAAGTTGTCTCCGGATCAAAGAAGCTGTGCCAGTGACGTAGAAGGATTAACAATATACAGCATCAATAGTTTTGCACAAAAGAGCCAGGTAAGATAATGGGATCCCGGAGCTGACGTCAATCTTCGGAATGCCGAACATCTGGCGTCGGGTAACCGAGCTTTTGCACACCGATGATTTTGTTCAATCGGGTACTAGCATCGAGCTTTTGAAAAATATTGGAGTATAGTCAGTATCCCTGTGGTGGCAGAATCCATGGTTAATAAAGTAATTGCTTTGGTATTTATAATAAAATCTTTAAGCCCTAATTCTGTATTGAAGAAAGCCTCTTTCAGGTATTAATTATATTAATCTAAATCTTTGTGTCTTACGAAGCTTATTCTAATTCATAGGGTTTTAGTGGATTTCTTGGATTTGGAAAGCTAAGTTTTAGTCTAAAGCAACATTTTCATGTAAAAAATCTACTTGTATTGAATTCGATTAATAAGATATGAATTTATATATTAGAAATAAATAGTAAGTTATATGTAACTAAAGTATGATATTGTATACAGTATATAATTATTCAATCTATACATATAGCGGGATCATCGGGCAGAGTTTTATAGCGTTGTATACGTACTACATCATGTGTTTTCCAACAATCTCGAACTCAAAAGCAACAAGCTCGCCCCATCCAAGCGAACAGATCCGCAGATTTCTCTTCATAATTATCTTCAGGAGAGAAAACAATCCGCGGCAATGTCAACCTTATCAAGCACACTCTTGACATCTTTAACTAGAAGTAGGAAGGTTGCCATTGTGAGCGGATCACCATCTGGAATCGGTACCTCAATAGCTCGAGAGTTGTCCCTTCGGGGAGCCAATGTAGTCATCAACTACCCTTCCCAAGCCGAAAGAATAGCCGCGGAAGCCGTTTTCAAAAGTTTGAAAGGGAACTCCAAATCCATTCTGGTCGAGGCTGACCTGTCAACTATTGCCGGCCCCTCGAAACTAGTTGAAGCTGCTGTCGCAGAATTCGGCGAAATTGATATTCTCGTCAACAACGCAGACATTTCTTTGCCAAACTAGATTGACGATGAGGACGACGAATCAATGCTGAATATTCGGGACCGAGTAGTTGCCTTGAATGGCAGGGGGACTTTGTTGCTGACAAGAGCTGTGCTGAATCATCTCACTCCGAGCAACCCCGCATCATAAATATCTCGAGCTCCACCTCACGCAACCCGGATTCCAACATTTCCATCTACGCCGGTACCAAGGAGATGATCGAGAGTTTCAAGCGCTACTAAGCTAGGGATCTGTCTCGACGTTATGGATGTACTGTGAATGCAGTGGCGCCTGTGCCAGTGGCCACTGAGTCGATGCAAGCGGCACTGCCTCATGCACTGGAGGCCATCATGAAGGTCTATGAGGAAACTCCAGTCGCTCCTCGTATGGCTGAGCCATTGGAAGTCGCGTGGACGGTGGCAATGTTGTATGAGGAGAATGCGGGGTGGCTGAATGGATTGTATGATCCTGTGACTGGAGGTTCCATTTTATCATGATATCATATTAAAACTCCAATGACTCAACATTACATCGTAAATTGACTTTTTACATGCCCCATAAAGTTTCACAAATCGTTTACTGCGCAGCAAGAAGGCGGACCGAGAAATTCTGGGTTGGGGCCGTCGGCTTGCCGAAACGGTTCTGCGAGATCCCTGTTATAAACTTCCCGAACCCACATCCTATAATGCTTTGATACTTGACTACCGGCAATTGCAGATATGAGACTGTTACATTACTTCTGCAATTAATTTTTCATCCACACAGAAGTGTTCCATACAAGACCACTTGCAATATGGCGCCCACCCGTACAAAAATCCTGAAAAGTGCCAGTCCACACCCAGGCTTTGCAAAGGTACCGACATAACCAAATTGCCCAAATCGATTACCAGAATCATGATTCCAAGTCATCCTAATTGTTCCCATGTTAACAATTATCAGGCGGCTGCTGAAAATGCCCAAGCACCCCCACCAGCCAACATAACTATCCCAATGCTCCGCACCGCCTCCAACGCCGGTAAAGCCCAGCATCGCAGCTCCCATCTCGCCCCTCCGGCCGGCCTTCGAGAATGGGAAATCGAGATCCACACGCGCGACGGTAGCGCTATTCCAGCGCTGGTATATGGGTCCACAGACGAAGCTGTGAGCGAGCGGCCGATACTGCTCTTTTTTCATGGCGGAGGCTGGTGTATTGGTAATCGCTTCGATGAATTCCAGGCCAGCGATTGCTGTGGAGAATGATATCATTGTTGTTAGTGTGGAGTATAGACTGGTGCCTGAGCATCCCTTTCCTACCGCTGTGTATGACGGGCTTGATGCGTTACAATGGATAACTATTTCTCAATCCTCGTCCGGGGATTCTTTATTCTTTGCAGAGATATTGGCTAATCAGTTTATTCACCATAAATAGGTAGCCGTGAATGCGCACAAAATTCATAAATCTGGATCCCCGTCTAAAGGCTTGATCGTTGGTGGTATATCAGCTGGCGGGAATATCGCCAATGCCGTCGTTCACCTAAACTGTGAACAATCATCTACTGCGCCGGTGACAGGACAGTTCCTGAGTGTACCCCCATTACTACCGGCACATCTTGTACCTGAAAAGTATAAGGACGAATTTATCAGCAATGAGCAGAACAAAGACACGATGGTTCCGCCGCCGAAGCTGCTAGAAATGTTTACTGGTACGTATTCTACCGCCTCATAATCATCTCCACGTCTACATATAATGGCAGACTAACTTGATAATCTTTCCGTAGGGGCTTACAAGCCAGACTCTAATTCGCCACTATTTCCCCCCTTCAGCCCATCCGCCGGCTACCAGGGCTTACCTCCAACTTATATCCAAGCCTGCGGTGTGGATTTTGTGCGTGATGATGCCCTGATTTATGAGCGGGTTCTTCGTGAAGAACATCACATTGCGACACGGGTTGATTTGTACTCTGGATTGCCTCACCATTTCTGGAAGTTCTTCTCACAGTTGACAGAAGCTGTAGAAAAGTGGACGAAGGATACTATTGCAGGCATTACTTGGCTTTTAGTGAAGGGTGATATGTAGCGCCGTGTGATGTGGTAGTAGGGAGGTATAAATGGAAGATTGAGATAACCGTTTCATGCCAGCATATAATGAGTTGATAGAATGCCTATTTCGATAGTGTACATTCAAGCGTATTAACTTGATCCGTGACTCTAGCCTTGACATTCCCAGCATCCGGATGTAGTTACTAGGCTGTAGTTTAGATAACTACAATCTATCTCCCCTCGCCCTTCAGGTAGGAGCCTATTCTCATTACTGGGGAGCGTCTCTCGAGCCAAATAATCCGGTTTGGTCCATGTTTCCGATGGTCTGCATTAAGCGGCAAATATTGCCCACAAGCCGTGGTTCGATGTCCAACAGCTCCCGGAACTTCTTGCGAATAATTTCAATTGCCACATTCATTGTTATGTTCGCCGAGCTAAGTGCTGTCGTCTCTTCCGGCTGTGCTGACATATCTGAACTCGTCGGGCTCATAGAAATTACAGGTGTTCCAAAACCCAGCTGAATCCAGCGTCGGGTTGAGAGAGTTTCTTCTCCGTCCACGAGAAGAACTGACGTCTCTGGAGATGTAGGTTCTGGTGATGTCGCCTGGCTGGTACTGCGTTTGGAAATGATTCCGTAAATACAGAGGCATAAGCTCGCATGGTAGCAGGCTATAGCATGGAATATGTGCAGCGCACCAACGGGAATAGCTCTCATGCAACGAAGAACTTGGCCTGCATTCCAGACAGCGTGCCGAGACGACTCGCTTTGGAACCATGTGTGAAGAGTTGGATATACTGCTAGTGCTTCCTCAGGCCCTTCTTGCCCGGCAAATAGCTCCAGTTGATTAAAAGAGATATAAAGGTGCATGCCAGTCAGTTCACGGAGAAGGTTCGACGCCGCAATCTCTTCAAAACCGCCCATGTTGTAGCCCACGCCGAGAGCTTGGATAACCTGTTACAGCCTCCTCTCTTGGCTTTCGTCTGCAATCAGTGCTGATCTATTGAGAGCGGGGTCATTGGTTGCAAATAAAGCTTGAGTGTGTTTGAAAGCGCGAACCAATGATGCTATTGCATAGACCTGAGCCTCGCTTGCAAATCCACGATCACGCGTCTGGGGAAATAGACGTGTTGTGGTGGGGTTTGCGATGCATTCTATTATCGATGGCACTTTGCCCTGAGGAGCGCTTACCTGCAATCGCACCAAAGCTTGTTTCCAGAGTATAGCAGATGGTGCAAGCCACAGCTCGCGTGATTCGGGAAGTGGTAGAGTGAGCTCAGACGGAGACAGCTGCGAGCCTACTATGGAGGCCATGAATGATTCCTGCACACAGTGGATATGCATGTGGTAGACCAGTCTTTCCAGCTAAGGTCAGCATGAATGGTATCAACAAGCCTCAAGTCAATGGCAACTTAACCATGCTGGAATTATGTGGCGATGTGTATTTAATCACTTACCTTTTAAATGACTCTTGCTCAACCCAAGCACGCCACTTTTTATCCAAAATATCGCCAACGTCAGTAGAAATTGGAGCTATAGATGAATAAGCGTTACGGCGAAAGCGCCCCCCCACCCTCAACATCTATGCATTTTCTGTCAGTAACTCGCATGACTCGTTCTTGAAGCAGGCTTGGCTAACGTTTATCAATACTCCTGAGACACTTTTCGCCAGCTTCATTTTGTTATTAGATCCGCTCCATAATCCGTCAGATAAACTCAGGCAGAACGCCTGGAGGTATTGTAGATCTCTGGTGAGGGAATATTCTCGCTCCGCCTGAACAATGAAGATAGTTAGTTGTGTGTGTCAATAATTATATAAGCTACGATCACACACACGATTGTACAAGTAGTAACTGAGTATTTCCCCTAGTCCATGGCCAAACTTTTGGACCGCCTTGTGTGATGATCTAGAAGTACCAGTGATTACCATCGCTGCGATGGTTTCAACGCGGCTCTCGGATTTAGAAAATGTAGGAACATGAATGTAACCGTCGAGATCACCTTTTTGTTGGGTCAGGGCTATATTGATTAGGCATTCCAAAACATCAACAGTTGGGAATGCTGATACTATTGTGCCTATGTTGCTGCGCTTACACGATCCCACCGCCAAAGCGATGATTTTGTCACGTGTGCGAGGTAACAGTGGTTCGCCCGATATGGAAGGATCCCACTGCCCCGAAAAATCTATTTTGAGACTGATAAGGTCTTTTGATACCATGTCTTTCTCCGCATGCGCTCGATAATGACCGGATTTTGGAGTCCATTGACCAATCGACTGACTAATAGCTTGTTGTACACTGTATGTTCTCGCATCGCCATCACCTGAAGGCTCGGAGAAGGCGAGTGCGGTGGGGATGTGCCGGGGGGCTTGTGCAGTCCCAGTCAGTAATGAAAGCTCCATAGGTGAGAAAAAGTCTATTCCATGATCATTGAGACCCCAATCGCCCCATTCCAGCCTGCCTTCCGGCCCATCCTGGTTGAGCAGGTCAAAGGATGCATCAAGACCTCAAGTTGCTGGCAGCAAAGGAGGTCGTGGAAGCCCGTCTGCTATATTTTGATTAGGGGATCGCGGAGCATGGGAATCCAGGGCGCCATTCGAGGCAGCTATCAATTGGGGGCGGTCAGCCAGATGACTTGGGCGGATGTGCTTGACAATTACCAGTGCTGTTTTGGTTCGAGAAAGCTCCATCAAAGCTGTCCTGGAAAGTTCCTGGCAGGCTGGCATCTATCTCGTCGCCGAAAGCAGCTCGTTGGACTGTGGCCGGATCCCGGGTTTCATCTTCTTCGTCCGACAGATGTGCATCTCGAAGACAGGGAATGTTCCTTTTACGACAGCGCGCACATGTCAAATTATTGTCACATCTAGTCTTTGATGAAGCACAGGCATGGCAGGCTTGCGAAGCCCGGGGAGGGAGGCGCCGACGAATCTGGCGCTGACGCTTTGGAGCCGACCTGTCCTGCTCCAGATATGGTCGGCGTAGCATCCTACTATTAATCAATTATGTGTGAGCTTCTCCCTTGCTGATGAGTGCACGTAAGGTCAAGATCAATAGTATACGGCGTTCCTGGATTTCCGCGTTTCATCGGAGGCTCTGCTCACGGATAATTCTTCAGAGGGATATACTCGTGCCCACTTTGCAGTGTCTGCGCTTGTCAGTCTCTGATGTACCTCTATAGTTGGCAATAAGCTCAAGCCTATGCCAGGCTAGATAGAACTCAGTCCCAGAGCCCCGGAAGGGCGAAGAGGATATCTTTATAAGGTCTTGTACCGAGGTATTGCGGCCATTTGGGGCATGCTTTTGTGGAGTGCAAGGTTATGCCACTGTGCCGGCTTTTGAAGTTTCGGCTCTACATCGGTCGGAGAGATTATCCCCTAGACCGCGGGCTTGCGGCGCCATATGGATCCTGTACACTAAACTTTCCAGTTCTACTGATCATATTCGTAGTCCTTTCTTGTAGCTAGTATTTATAATAAATCTTCTTTAACGTGGTTTAACAGTGGCTCGGCCATATCAGTGGATCGGTTACTTCAAAATATATATAAAACCAGTCTTTTTCAATATTCATATTTTAATTATTAATTATTATTTTTGAAAAAGAAAAGAATATTAAATAATAATAAAAATTTAATTTTTAAAAAAATCTAGTTTTTATATAAATATTTATATTATATTATAAAAAAAGTAGAAATTATTATAATTCTCGTTATAAAAAAGTTATTCCTTTAATAAATATTTTAATAATTTAAATTTCTAATAAAAAATTAGATTTTTATAATATTTATATAATTAAATATCTAATAATAGATTTTTAGAAAATTTATATCAATAAATTAAAAAAATGTATGGTTATGCATAACGTGATTTATCATCGAGTAGACTATATCATCGAGTGGGCCATCATTTTTATATACAAAATTTGTTTGTATATAACCATACACTTTCTTTATTTATTAATAGAATTTTTTAAAAATTAAAACTATGAAATTTGATTATATAAATACTACAAAAATCTCATTATTTATTAGAAATTCGAATTAATATAAGAATTATTATTAGGAATATTTTTTTGTAACGAAAATCATAACAATTTTCACTTTTTTTAATATAAAATGAAAATATTTATATAAAAACTAGATTTTTAGAAAATTAATCTTTTATTATTATTTAATCTTTTTTTCTTTTTCTAAAATAATAATTAGTTATTAAAATACGAATATTCTAAAAGTCTTAATTTTGGTGTATTTTGAAGTGGCCCACTCGATGATATGATTCACTCGATGATAAACCACGTTAGATGTATTTTGTATGTAAAAATAGTGGTTGACTTACTGATATAGCCGAGCCACTATTAAACCACGTTATATAGTTTAAGAAAAACAGTTGATTTCTATTTAATATCTTATATATATTAGAATTTTTTGGGATTTTGATTTAAATTATTGTTGAATTAATGTAAGTTCTCATAATTGATTATAAATTTCATAATTAATATTCTAAAAGGTTCGAAATTTTATATAAAATATGAGATAGTATAAGATATCATGATTTCGGTTGAATTCGACATTATTCTAATCAATCTGATCAATCTCAAAGAAGCATGTTGACTGGTTAACGTGTTTGAAGCAATATTTTTTTTGAGGCTATTTCGAAAGATGAAAACTTCTTGAAGTAAAGAAAAGAATGAGGAAAAAGAATATGGAATTCACTGTTCGGTAGATTGTGATGTCGGGACCAGCATCCACGGCTTATTCCGGAAGAACTTTTGCTTTGTTTGTTCATATGACAGATGCGTATCCCCAAAAGGCACCGGCGGTCCGCTTCATCACACCAGTGCTTCATCCAAATGTATCCAAGGTAACCTCACTACCCCATCCGTTGATATGCATTGCGTCACAACTGACGATGTAATAGCATGGTAGAATATGTCACGAAATTTTCGATGATGGATGGAAGTCAAGCTTTCACATTCACGACATCTTGAAGACTGTATTCACCCTATTCGAGAATCCAAAAGCTAGTTGCGATTCTGCTATTGATGAGCTAGCAACGCTGAAGTTCTGGACCGACCGAGAGACAGCTGATGCGGAAATCAAGAAATATGTAAGTATTAAGAAACTTGGTATAGAAAGCGTGAAGTGCTAACCCATGACAGGTAACCAAATTTTCCACACGTACTAGACTTCAATGGAAGACAGAAATGGATTCGACAGTTTGAGATTTGCCAGTCATTAAGTTGCATCGGATGCGGTTATCGGAATATGAGAGGATTTTGCACGCTCTATGAATAAGCGAATCTGGCAACAATACTAGGGGTAACATAAATAGAAATAGTCGCAGCTATATCGTGCTAGTTGTGAAATAATGAAAATGGCAATCTACTTTTAGATAGTTTGCGACTTTTTGAGATTGCTGAATAACTTGAGCCACAACTACTTTGATATCCAAAGCCGAGCAAGAGATAAGTGAGCTGGTTTTCGAAGCAATTTTGTCGTTTCTTGATTTAGACTTGTATTTGCGTTTGAGACGGTGCATAGTGACTTAAGAAGGGAACCCTGCTGGAATGAATACTGAAAATAAATTGAGAGTGGAGAATGGACTACCAGATCCTCTGTCAGTCTGCATATGGAGGGAGAGGTTCTATCTCCTTTAAGGCATGGTATGAGAGGAATCACCAGCAACAATCCTTGATTGAAGTGAGGAAAGGTTCGCGAAAAATGCGAAGAATAGTATCGGGATGCATCTCGCTACCACGGATGGGCATCATCTACTTGAACGAGGGAAAATTATTTGATTTCCTGGCATTAAACATTATAGATATGAAAAGTATGCTCACTGCACAAGAACTTGGATACGACCGAGCGCATGTGTGTAGCGTGAATGTATACTCGCATTTTGTGTGCATTATCAAAATGCTATGTCTGACTGGGCTCTGTATATATTCCCCTCTGTGAATACTCGAAGCAGTTTCGTGCTTGGGTATAGTTCTATAGAAGTTCTATCGTACCCTTTAAGCTAGGATAGAGGTATACATGCCGTGTAAGAATGTCGTAGGCTCTGTGCTCGACCCAGGAGTACCTTCTCTGTTATACTTGGTATCTTCAGTCAACCGTTAACCCAAATCCCAGTTCGAGAGAAATGCTTTCCACCTCTGCTCAGTGATCACAAATCACTGAAGCCCTCTCGATGCCATTCTCAAAACCCTCTCACTAAACCATCCCAGCTCACTTCCCACCCTGCACCAATCCCAAATAAACATTCCAGCCAATCCCCGCCAAACTGCCCAACAAAGCCCGGCCCTGCACACTCTTGATCACGGCAAAATTGCTCAGACTAACAAACGGCCATAGCTTCCATCCCGCTTTCATCATACCCCAGTATTCGGATTCTGCAGACTGGATAGCTTGTGGCAGCGTGGCTCCGCGGAAGAGGGAGAAGGTTATGAGAAATAGCATTACGTTGAGGATTGCGAGGAGGGTTTGATCGATAAACACTTTCAGAATGGTATTCGTGATGGACAGAGTGGGTTTGGACTGCGCGGTTTTCTTCTCAGAAACATTTTGTGGAGGGATTTGTTTCTTGGAGGGGAGGAGAGATTCGAGGAGAGATTGTCTGGAAGGCGGATTGTATTGTCAGTACTCGCGGTACAGATCTGGAGAGAAATGAGTCGCCCGAGAAAGATGGAACTCACAAGTAGAAATTTGGCGGAGCGCTCAGCGCACCGTATAAGACGAAGTGAAGGACCGGTGTCCAGTTAATCGAGAATTGAGTCTATATACTTGTCAATGTGAGGTCTAATAAGGTGCAATATAAAGATATGGAGGGGTTCATACATTGCTCTGGTACGCCGAGATAAACTGTGCAATAATATTGCTGATCCCCGATAAGACACAGGATTGCACCGTGGTATTTACGACGGCGGAAGGCATCTTTGATTTCGTCTCGCTGGTATGTTATTGAGTTGTGGGAGAAAGTTAGAAATCTTCTTCTCGAAATTAATTGTTTGGATGATGTCCAGCTCTAGTAACCTGGTGGCGTATTGTGTCGCGTTGTACTTGCTTGGTGGGGTGTTTTCTTCCGATTACTACCACAGTCATTTCCCAATGTCAACAGATTTTAAAGTGTTGAGTCTATGATTTCGAATTATTGAGTCTTTGATCTCGATTCAATGACTGTCTTGCCATCTTGCAGCGACAAGCTAGAGCATTATACGCTTTTAAACGATAGAGGGCGGAGGGGAAGGAAGGTCGTCGAGACCTCAAAATTTGACATCAGACCTACAATTGCCGCAATGATCATGGCGACATGCTTGTCCTGAGAATAACATGGTGTTATTCGAATGACCAAGTGGCTTTGGTATACATTGAAAGACCTTGAAGAAAAGGTGGCTCCTATTGAAGCTGGCTATGGAGTCGAGAATGTGTATATTGATTGATGTGGTCATGTCGTACAGCAATTGATTCATAGAGTTATGCAACAAAAAGGGTCTTTGCATAATAATTATGCAGAGATTCAAATGCACCTGGGCAGATATGGTTGAAGGTTAAATTACGACAGTGATTTCTTTGGAAACAGCTTTTTATTTCATTTCATGTGCTATTGTATTGAGTGTCAGTGAGGGTTGAAGTCACTACCCTCGTTGGAAGTTACCATTCCTCAGCCAGGCTCCACACAGAATGCATCCTGCCTGTTTCCCCCCTATGCTACGAAGACCGTTTCCTGAAGAACAAGACTACCTAGGACGAATCTCTCAAGTACATTTCCAATGAAACCTTCAGGGTTACTATGTTTTCCTTCAAAAAGGTTATCTTAATTGAAAGTTACTGTGTGATGAGTGTCACATATCTATGTGACTACTCATCCCGCTAACCTTAGTTCAAGACTAGCTCGAACTAAGTAACCTTTCATTATATAAAAGATGAAAACAATATTCAAGGATCTCCCATAACGGCCTGTAAAAATACTTACGAAGTATCAAACCAAATTCGAGAATACATATCACAGCACCACTATTATAAGATTTCGAATCCGGACAACTACGAAGACCTACGATGTTTGATTTTCGACGGAGAATCGTGAGCGAAGAGGGTTGTTTTGCTACAACATTCGAGAGGAAATACTACAAGAAAGCAGATATCTTTGTCAAAAGAAGCCTACGAGAATCAGAATATCGAACAGGATACCGTGGCCTGCATATACCCAAACTCGGAAAAGAGAGATTAAGGAACGAGGCGGCTTCTCTGAACTTTATTTAGGAATTCACAAATATTCCCGTTCCGCGATTATATGGTCATTTTGAATATAACGGCGCCTACTATATTGTTTTGGGGTATGTGGGGGGTGTGAGCATGGCCGATCTGAGCGAACCTCAAAAGGAGGTGGTGAAGAGGGAGATTGAGACTCACCTTATAACAATGCATAATCTAACATCGAGAAAACTTGGCGGACCATCGGGTATCCTCATCCCTCCTTATCGTATCCTGGGAAAGATAGAGGACCAGGTCTGGAATCCACCAACCAAAGACTGTGCATATGTTTTCTGCCACATGGATCTATCCCAGCATAACATCATCGTAGACCCAGTGACGTTGAAAATCAAAGCTATCATCGATTTTGAATGCTCGGGCTTTTGGCCTGCGCAATTTGATTTCCCTTTTCATACAAGGCTTGGCCCTTCAGTCGCTCGCGAAGGGGGGATTGACGATACAGACGAGCTGCTGAAATTCCTCACAGTCAGTTCTTGTTTCTTCCTGATAAAACAACCCAGCTAATTGTGTTTAAAGTCCGGGGTCCTGAGCGGTACATGCAATTACTTGATAGAGTCACGCAGATGCCACATTCACTATAGCATAATGATAGGTAGAAGATTGTTTGTTCAATTATTTATGACGAATACACGTCCAATAATCCTTAGTGTTTAAATTCTCCGTTTCTGACCAATCTATCGCTACTCCTAAGCTAAGAAAATGTTCGAGACATCCCAGCTGCCATGACATGAAGAGCTGCTCCAATCGCTAATCAGTTCGCGATCTGTTTCTAGAGAGACAGCATGCCATACTTGCTCGAAGAGTGTCTATAGCTCATTGGTCCTTGCCGCACGAAGAGCACGGGGATCGCGAGCTCGAGATTTCTTTGCAAAAGTGCAAACACTTTACAGACTTATATGATATTATGCTTAACGCCAAAAACTTTGTATTTTGACGAGAGAGATATGACAGGATGCCTTAAATCGATTATAATACTGAAAGAGGGGAAACCATCTTTCTATCTCTCTGGTACCATTCTATCAGGATGCCTAGTTTGCTCGACGAAGCCGCTCCATTGCTTTGTTAGCGAGGTGTTTGATAAGTGACACTTTATTCCCGTCTTCCTCATATCCGGCTAAACTAGAACAGTAGCCCACATCTCTCTGATCATGCTTTAACCGAATAGTCTAGCTGACCATAACAAGTATCGCAATTAAATTATCCGCGTATGAGTTATATTTTGTGGATGCGGCTTTTACACTGTCATTTATCAGGCACAAAAATAGCATTTGAAAACGGGAATTCTTCACACATAAAAATACTGACTGATAATTGGCCAGCAATCATTATGAAAGAAGTGAGGGCAACCTTTAACGCCATCGATGAATGGGACAATCGATAATCTTACCAAAATGTGTATTCTCTGACTTCAAGCTATGGCCTCAGTTCAACTATCGTTGTGCGAGAATTCCAAACTAAATACAAACCATCCTTCGCAACTGTCGCTTGTCCCGCCATAGCTGTGCCCCAAACTGTCCGTACAAACTGTTATTTTCGTTTGCCCATTATTCGACCTTCGCATACAATTTCTCATAATTCCGCTTGTGCTCAAGCATAAATCTTTGTAGTTCTATATAACTCAAAATGCTCTTGGCGCCTTCCTAGTATATTTCTTAACGTATTCTTCCAACCTCGTAGCATTAGGACGTAGCTGCTGTTCCGTGGTGCAGGTAAGCTTGAGATTCGGAACACTATTCTGGAATACACATAAGTTGAAACAGGTGTTTGATCTCAGCAATGCGAGGTTCTCCAGCCTCCCTGACAGCGTTCATTCAGTGCAAAAGGACGCCAAATCGTGGTGTTCGATTTGTTGTTAAAACCTTATGAAATTGAGACTTTCGCTCAAAACTTACCTCCAAGCTCATTTATAATTGTTTTCTAGATACGCCGAATGAGTTGTTTAGATAGAGTGGTTTTACAGATCGTACCCGACTATAGTACGATCGCTTGCATGTGTATTCGCGTATGTATACGATTATGATTATATAATTGGTATATACGTATACCTAGGTATATATATATACTTTAGAAGCACTAGGCTCCTGATTTTTCAGCTGTAAATTTCAACAATAAACGGGAGGCTACTCTCGTAGTTCTTGGAAGGCAAAGTACTATAGTTAGTAAGTTTTATAAATTTTAATCACAAAACTTCGTTTGCTTCATATAACAACCTAGCTTCAGATAGTAGTTCATATTTCTCTTTGCAGTAAGGAGTCTATTATCGATTGGAGGGCTAGCATCGTTCTCTATCAATGAATTTGAAACTTTATCAAACTCGATGAAAGAACTTATCCATACAGAAATGAACTCTTTTGAGCACTTCAGATAGATACTTAATTACTGTTCGAATGTCTTTTCTATTTTTTGTATCACTTTTATAGGTTTCATCAAGATCTTTGCTTCATTTCCAATATGAATGAATATAATCACGGCATTTGTATGATGTTTGTAAAGTGAATTATCGAGTTCGAATATCGAAGAACTTACAATAAAAGAAAGTATATTCGAATCGATGCTTATAGACGAGGCTAGACGAATAAGAGAGACTTTATCCAACGAGTCGAAATCAACCTAGGGCTAAGTGATATGCTCAAGATAGATGAAGTCACGCACAGAGAACTATCTCGACTAGTCATGTTCTTTTTCGCTTCATTTCGAAGAAGAATAATATCATTATGTACTTCTAGAATATATAAAGTAGCTTTTATGTATGCTAAAAATTTTAGCGATTAGTATTCATTGTTGCTTGAAAGTTTTTGAGAGGTTCACGGCACCGCGTACAACAGTTACATTCTTCATTCTGTTCGTAATTTTGTCGAGTTGAGAGACGAGCAATACATTATTACTCTAAGCTATATGATTGTCTCAATCCTGAAAAGATTGCTTGCTAGTTGTCTTATAACGCTACCCCTTATTGTTCAGTCGTTGCCTATTTATCCCGAAACCTCTTCGATTCCTACCAATGGTACCTTTCTCAAACCGCGATTACATCGACAATTCAGAATCAAGGACTGTAATCTGGAGCACACTGATACGATCAATACTGCAATAAAAGAAATTTCGCAAGTCGTAAGTAATCTGGATTATGTGAAACAATACAGCCTTTCTAATCAAAGAAATATTAGCTTGCGAGAACTATAGTAAGACTCGAGAACCTCATCGCTCAACTTGAAACCTCAGCATTCGACATTTTTGAAGATCTTGATGATACTGATTACTCTACTCTTGATATCTTTGGTGTTCTTTATGGCAGATTGCTCTTAACTGACAGTAATATCGACTTAAAAAATCGTAAGGATAAGCCAGCCGCTGTTGATATCCTAAATGACTATCTAGGTAAGTAGGGGAAATATCGTAGATTATTCCATGAGAGTATCACCCGCTTACCCACTGCTGTTTAGATTTACTAGCCTCATGTATAATGCAGTAGCAAGCATAGCCACCCGGAATCTAGATGTCACTTGTAACAATGATTAAACAAATGAGAAGAATAACGATGATGAGGACTACGGGAATGCAACCGGAAATAATAGAGGTAAGTCGCCAGTCTTTCTATAAGCTATTCAAACCCATAAATTGAAACATCCTATTCTACTCATGTTTTTCATTGACAACAACATGACGTAAGTCAGTTGACTCGCTAACAAGATACAGCTGATTATCATTACGATAAATCTGGTAATAACTTTGGATGGATACAAATCAAAAAAGTTTATCAGAAAAATCCCACTCTTGAAGGGTTCACCTTCAGCATTTCTTCCAACTTAATAATCGAGAACCAACATAGCCTTGCCATCGTCATCGCTATATGCCCTCTGGCAACTAGTCGTACCCGATTTAAGGCTACACTTACCTCTATTAGAGACAAAACTCTTATCAAGTCAGATTCTCTCGAAGAGCTTGCCTTACAAACTACCACATTTTTACTTCTTCACGAGTTTTCGTATGTCTTGTTTCTAGTTGGTAGTTATGTAAAAGGTATATATTTGGATCCTTCGCTTATACGAATAGTCAATTCTACGTAGGGGATAACGCATAATCGTAGAGTAAATGCCTAGAATTGATCGATCGAGGCTCAGTGCAAACGACAATTTCGAACGCTAGTATAACAATCTCAAGAGAACTCTTCTATACTTTAACCTAAGATTCATTACAATAATGCTGACTATTTCTAAATATCAGACAGCTTTGCTTTCTTTGCTACCGCCATGTTTCTTGACATCTAGACGTGGTATATCGGATAAGCATTGCCGAGGGATGATTATAGGGAATTAGAGTAGTGTAGATTCTAACTCAATTTAAGAAGCTCTAGCTGCTGTCTCATTTATTACTATCAGTAGAATAATTAATCAGATATAATTTCTTACTTGTTAAGACCACTCTACATAGAAAAATACAGTACTAGACAAAAAAAGGGCTGTAGTTGAAAACACACCAAAAAAAGCTATTTTTCAACCTTTCTATTTCTATATGTTTAGAACGCCTTATATTTGTTATAATGAAACTCTATTATAATATATAAAATTATATGAATTTCATAAAAAAATAAATAGAATATTTTTAGAAATTTATTTCATCTTGAAATTTCTAATTTTAATCAATCGAATTTAAAAATTCCATTTTTTCAGATTTTTACTAGTAAATTTATCGTATTTTTCGATTTTCAAAATTTTCAGATTTTAAATCAAAATATCAAGATCAAATAAATTTCTAAAAATAATTTATTCATTTTTAACCAAAATTATATTGAATTCCTATTGTATTTGAATATTTGAAATACAATTATTCAATTAATAAAGAATTATAGCTCTTTTAAAACACTAAAAAATAACCTTTTTTTGGTGTGTTTTTGAGCTACGACCCTTATTTTTTTTGAATTACTATAGAGAAATATTATTAATCCCGCGATTAGTCTCACTAGTGTCTTGTATTATGAAATCCATAGTTCATATTAATATCTACGTAAATAAAATTTAAGGATTTTAGACTTTGAGATTATTCTCGGTTAATACTTTTGAAGAGCTGATAAGGAATTTGTATCAGGAATCAACGCAAATATAAACTTTATTGAAATTATTGTTTTAATAAAAATAATATAATATATATATAACTTTTGAAAGCATTCAACCTAATATGAGCGTATTATATAATCAAATCACATGATCGTCGCTTATAAGCTTCCGAAAACAATTAACGTAGTTTATTAGTGCGTGTACTATATTAGTGCATATATTACTTTTACCTCAATTTATACTCTTCAATTTCAATACGCGATTTATTAATCATTTATTATACAATCGAATAATAAAAAAGGGAGAATACTCTTAATTATTAAAGTTATCAAAAAAAACAAAAAACTCTTAATTCAAAAAACTACTAAACTATATAATATTACATATACAATACTTATTCAAAGAATAAATAAAACAATTCCTATAATTAAATTTCGATCACAAAATCTAAAATTTATTAAAATAGAAAAATAAATAATTATTTTATATATTCTTAATATAAATTCGAAAGGTTTTTTTTTTAATTTAAAGAAATGGAAAATATAGTGAATTATATTTTCGAATCGAAAAGAAGAAAAACTATTAGAAAATTCTAAATATATTGATTTATAAAACAATCTAAAAAATTAAAAATATATTTTAGTTATATTTATAATTTTCAAAAAGCTTTCTATAAAGATTCTAAACATCTTAAAAAACAGTTTTGATTAATTACAAATATATAAACGAAATATAGTATTTTGAATAGAGATTTCTATAATTTTAATAAAACAAGCTTTATAATAGAAATCATATATATAATAATAATTATCATTAATATTGAAAAATATAATAGAAATAAATTAATATAACCAGATAATTGAGAATGAATTATAATAATAATATATAGAAATAAAGAGAATAAAACTATTCCCTTATTTCTAATAATTCAAGAATAGATTTATCTCTCTAATTAATATACTGAAATCAGTTTAATATCTTTGTTTTTAGCCTTTTCTTTATTATAAAATAGCTTTATTTTAGAGTTTATCGAAGTGGAAACAGAATTAGAATCTAGTATATTAAACCCGTTCTTTCAATTTGAATGCTTAAATAGTCTTTTATTACATTTTTTTTTATCAACACATCTGCGAGCTTAGATCGTACTAAGTCGCATCTTCCGATTATATAAGCTCTAGTATTAGATATAAGCTACAATCATTGCCAACAATATGAATACTATAACAATTATTCCTATAAAAATACTAATCATAATCGATCCTTAATTTATTTATAATTGATTATTACCCTTACCCTTATCATTTAATTATAATAGTATAAATATTTATAATATAATAACTATAAGAGCTACTATATTAAACCTACAAATAATAAAAGGGTTCTTTATCTTAATTCAATTTAATATTTTTAATAAATAAATATAACTTAAATATAAGGTTTATAAAGTATTCAAAATAATGCTTTATTAATTCGAAGCTAATGATATATTAAAAAAAGCAGCTTTTAATAAAAAAAAATATAATATAATAATAAACAATATCAAAATTAGATTATTACAAATTATAATATAATTTATAGTTAGAAATAATAATAATAATAATCCAAATTATATTTATTTAAATATTACAAAGACCTCGAAAAACTCAAGTATATCTATAAACATAATTATATGTATATAAGAATAAACTAATAAATAGAAATCAATTAAACTCTGGAAAATCAGAATAAATACTCATTTATTAATAATAGAAATTGCTATATCAATAATAAATTGCTTGAGTATTTATATATTAAAAAAAGCAATTAATAAAACTATTCTTAATTTGAAAGATATTGATATTATAGTTATTATCTTTATAACTATTAGATGGATAGTATATATTGCTAATAATATTATATATAATAAACTTTTCAAAACTAAAAATATAAAAAAGATTAAGAAGATTTTGAATTATAATAGTTTAAAATAATCTATAATCTGATATCACTATATATTAAAAAGAATTTTAATTTCTTTTTATAATCTAAATAAAAATAGAAAATTTATTATTAAAAAAATAATAACTAAGGAAATATCAATATAAATAAGTATTCCTCTAATTAATTATTAAATTACTATTTGGATAGTTGATTTTTATAAGTAGATTTGGATTATCAATTTATTAAAAAAAGTCTTTTTCTTTAAACTTTTTAATAGTTTTAAATAAACTTAGTATATTAAGCTAAAGTAACATATCATTTATTATAATCTAATAATATATAAGAGTATTTCAAAATATAATAATTATAATATTTTATAAACAAATCATAATAGTCTATTCAGATTCAAATATAAGATTAAAATTAAATATATAAACTATATAGAATTATTTCAGATTAAATATAACAGTTACCTTATAATACTATATTAAATCAATAGAAAAGTTATATATTTTATAAAATCTAATATCTATAAAATCAAAAAACACAATTGAAAAACTTATTTAATTATTAAAATATTAATTAACAAAATAGTTATTTTAATTATAATAATTCTTTAAAATATAGTAATAGAAATATCTCCCTTTATTTATAAGGAATATATTATTATATATAAAAACCTAAATAGCTTTTAATATATTCCTCAGAATATTTCTTTAATTAGTAATTTACCTAAAAACTTCTATTGTTCTAAAAAGAAGTACTTAAATAAGAGTAATCTAAATAAAAAGATATTTTTTAATACTATATTATTATAATGTATTAATATAAATATTAATATTGATTTGAATAAGTAATTACTTCTTCTGGTATTACAATATTAACTATTAAATAACTATAGCCCGATCTATATAAATCGATTAAGCAAATATATAGAAAAAGATAGAAGTATATATTGCAATATTATAAATAATATATAAATAAGATTTGAAGGTTTTATATATATAGGAATTCTTTATATACCCTAAATCTCGGATTCAGAATTATTCAGAATATAACCTTTTTGCTTTAATAAATAATTAAAATAATCTAAATAATCTCAAAAAAGAAAGAAAGAGATTAAAAACAATAATATATATATACAAAAGTAAATAGCTATATAATCTATAAAAATGAATTTAATTATATCAGGATTTTCTCTAAATAAAAGTGGATAATATATAAATTATTAATATATATCAATAACTAGATATTAAAAAAATAATAAATCTAATAATTTCTATAGTATTTCCTAATTGTATAATAATAAATAGCAACTTCAATATCAAATATAATCTATTTAAATTTAATATAGTTTTGATTAATCAAAAAGTCTTTTTTGCAAAATGGTTTCTTTTAAATAGAATGGATTATATCAAGACCCCAAGGGTTCCAATTTATAAAATAGGTTATATGATTAATTTAATTTTTTCTAATATATTATTGACTAATACTATTATTAATACTAATCTAAATAATAATTTCAATTATAAAATATAAATAATTATAATCCCGAATTCTATTTTATTTATTATTAAGCCCTTTGATCAAATAATTAGCAAAAAGAGCCTCCTAGTTTTTCAAAGGATTATAAAAAATAGGATTTTCTATTTCCCAAGCCTAATAAATATATTTATTAAATAAATTAATAAAATAATAAAAATACTAAATTCTTTATTTGAATTAGTAATTTACTTACTAGAAAAGGAAAAAAATACTTTTAATTATTTTACTTTTTAATAAATGAATAAATATAAAATAATATATTAAAAATACAGAATGATTAAAATTAAGAATATTAATCAAATAGAATATTAATAATAGAAATTGATAATTATAATCAGAAAAGCGAATTATTAATATTAATATAGAACTATTAATAAAGTAAATTATAATAAAATTCTATAAAAAATATTAATTAGTATAAATCTATTATTAATTTTAAAATACTATTTTTGATTATTAATAATATAATAATTAAAAATATTATTAAAAAGATCTAGATTTTATAAAAAGAGATTTTTAAATACTTTAATAATAATAATAATTTTATAACAAATCTACTCCAATTAGATTATATATTCAATAAACTCCTGTAATATATAAAAGTAATTTTTAAAAAAATAAAAAAAAGTATTATAAGAGTTTCGAATATTTTATTAGAATCTAATCAGATTACTATTTAATTTTTAAAGATTTACTAGAATTTCATTAAATTAATAATTATTAGGATTTTTAATTAGTATTTGTAATTA